TCTTCCCGTGCCCATTCCCGAGCTCCGCGCCGGCAACCACTCGAGGCCGCTTTCCCCGCACTTCACTTCCCCTCCCACGGAGCCCCCGACCGGAGCCCGTCGCCTGCTCCGGCTTCCCCTTGTCTGTCCCCGTGGAGCTGCTCCCGCTTCCCCCCCGCCGCCCCATCCCCGCCCTGTATCCCTCAGCTCCTCCCGCCACCCCTGGGGGGCTGCAGACCCCAGGGCAGGAGTCCCTGCTGCCCCATCCATCCATCCATCCATCCATCCTTCCCTGCCCCGTACTGGTGGAGCGGGACACTCGTGCGAGGTGACTCGATGGCACCTTGTCCCCTTGCCGGGGGGAGTTGCCTCGGATTTGCTCCCACGGCAAAAAGTGCGACAGGGCCCCGGGCAGAGGGCGGGAGGGGGGAAATCCTAAAAAGTGCCTCAAGGTGCAGCTCTCCGTGGGGTGGGGGGCACGGGGGCGGCCCTCCTCCCACCCACGGGCTCGCACCGCCGAGAGTGGGTTGGGCGAAGGAGGGGGCGCGTCTGACCCCGCCGCTCACCTCGCGCGGTCGCGTGTCCAGGGGGGAATTAGAATTCCTGCTGCTCGAGATAACGGCGCGGGACGGGGGCTGCGMGGACGGAGGGGAGGAAGAGGGGGAGCTGCTCGCTTCCCCGCTCTCCCCCAGGGAGAATTGGCCCTGCCCAGGGGGCTACCGGGACCCCTCGTGGCACAGACCCCCCCCGGGCAGTGCGGGCACCGCGACCTCCCACTGCCGTCCCACTGTCCCGAGCAGCAACTTGAATTGGGCAAAAGAGAGGGGGTCTTTGGCCCCCACCTTCCTTCTCCCTCTCCCTGTGCCACCACGTGGCCTTGAGGGGCTAAAAAAAAACGCGCAAAAGCGGCGCAATCTCGCGGACTGCCTCCACGCGCGGCCCGTGGGACACGCGCGCAAGCGGGTGCGCGTGGCCTGCGCCCGCCCGCAGAGGGTGTAAGGAGGGGAGAATCCCGGCGCGCACCTCCAGGGCGCGGGATTATATTATATTATATTATATTATATTATATTATATTATATTATATTATATTATATTATATTATATTATATTATATTATAT